GAAATTTCACATGATAGTGCCAGTTCCAAAGAGCAAAGCGACATTTCCCTCGATGGTATCAGTACAAAAGAAGTACCTCCCGAGTTAGAAGACAAATTATCCGACTTAGAAGGCATACCACTTGATCAATACGAGCAGATATTTATTGAACTACCTCCTTGTCCTGAATATGTTGTACCTGATTGCTTGGATAAATCAAGCCCTTACCCAAATTGTGCAGATGAATTCACAGAATATGACTGTTGGACGCCACGACGATTTCAGGACATTTGTGACGAAGCAATAGCTGACTATGATCACACGGCGAAAACTGACAAATCAGAAACATCTAATGATTCCGACATTAAAACAAAAAATAAATTAAGCAGTAAAAAAAAAAGAAAAAAATCACGCTACAATAAAAAATCCAAGAAAGGCTCAATAACAGGACAAACAAAATCAATTGAAGATGCAAAAGATATAAGCAAAAAAGGTGCTAGAAGCAAAAAGTCAAAAAAAAAGACACGTGGCGTTAAAGGAAATGATGAAAAACTTTCGAAAATTAACATAGAAACATCTAACGATTCTGATAGTAAAAATAATTTTAATTTAGATAGTGAGGTGACGAAAAAAGGATCTTTGAAATATACGGCAACAAAGAAAGTCTCACTTGATCGAAAGAGAAAAAAAAGGTTATCAAAAGAAACTAAAAAAAGATTAGCTAAAAGTGTTGATGCAGAAAACACATTACCTAAAGGGAAGAGAGAAAAATTATCAAAGAAAAGTACAGATAAGAGGTTATATAAAATAGGATCAACTGGAATAATTGGTGTAAAATATATACTATTAGGAAATTCAGCAACAACAAAAAAGTCTCGTGACAGAAAAGAGGAAGAAAAAGAAAACTCGTCAAAAAGAGGGCCATCGAAAGAGGGATCAACTATAAGCGTTGCAGAAAAACATTCAAATATTAATAGTACTAAAAAAAAGTACTCTAAGAAAAAGCCAAATAAAACTGTTTATTACAACAATTTACAAACGATGTCAGTAGAACATCATCCTCCGTCCTCATTTGATCCTAAAAGAGTATTATTAGCACCTAAAGATATTTCGTGCAATAGTACTAGGATACAAAACGTACCCCCAGAGTTAGGAGGCAAATTATCCGAGTTAAAAAAGATGCCATCAGCTCAAGATGAGGTGATATTTATTAAACTACCTCCTTCTCCCGAATGTTCTATACCTTATTGCTTGGATCGTTGGGCGCCACAACGCTTTCAGGACATTAGTGATGAGGTAGTGAAGTATGATGATACATGTAGCGCTAAACACCCTAAAGAACACGCTAAAAAAGTTACGAAAACTGGCAATTTAAAAACATTTTCCGATAGTGAAAATAAAAAAATTAAAAGAATTGATAATCAGATGATAAAAAAAGAATTTCCTGAACATTGGATCAGTAAAACAGGATCACTTAAATATATGGTGTCAAAGAAAACGTCAATTGATCGAAAGAAAGAAACAAATTCATCAGTAGAAAGAAAAAAAAGATTATCAAAAACTGGAAAAGCTAAAAATGTTGATGTAAAAGACATGCTTTCGGAAACTTTAGAATCAAAAATAAAATCAGGTGATAGCCAAAAGGCCAAAAAAGAAATGATAAAAGATGAAAAAAAATCACGAAAAGGATCATTTAAAAAGGAATCAACTGAAATTGTAGGTGCTCAAACTATATTATCTAAAACGAAGACAGAAATATTACCTAAGGAAGCTATGAAAAAGTCACCTAAGAAGACAAGAAACGCACATTTTTATGATCCGCTAGAAATGAAGTCATTAGAAGTTGCGTCACTTGACCATTTATCACCTAAACAGCTGACCCAAGCTTCAAATGATCGTATCTTCAGCACAGGCGGAGAATCACTCGAATTAGAAGCTAAATTACCTCGTCAAGTAGCAGTTGTTATTAAGCCAGTCTCCGATTGTTTAAATAAAAAAATAAACATGCGTCATAAGTGTGCTAAGCTATCGATTCCAGATGCTGATCCTCGAATATCTCAACAAAACCTGCGCATTTGTGATGAAAAGACTGAGATTCAGAATTCTAATGAAGTTTCGTTGCCAGTTGGCAAAGACGACACACCTTCTGCTACACACATTGCTCTAAATACGTCTCTGGGTTTTAAGAAAACTCTTCAAAACGTTATTTCTGGTTTAAAAAAAAAATGTGTTTTCTCATCAGGCAAAGTGAAACATACTTGTTCTCCAAAAGCTAAATTGAAAAGTGATTTTCTGACCAAATCTGATGAAAAACCTCTGCCGAACACTAAGAACAATCATCAAGCTTCTTCCGTCCATCTAAAAGAGTCGACGACCGCTGATAGTACATGTCTTCAACAGTTTGTAGGAAAAGAGCCAATTGCAAATATAGCACTTGACTTACGCACGCCAGTCGAAAATAGACTTACTAAAAGATACGTTAGAAGCAGAATGAAATATTTTAATCGCCGTTCAAAGCTTCCAATACCTAACATTTCCCCTTGTCCTCCGAAAACAACTGAAAATATACATCTTCAAGAGTTGAGACACAACGAATTGTCGAAATCAGTAAAAGTATTTGAGCCCATCATTGATAGCTCCATCAATAATGTTAAAACCTTTGTTCCCGAGAACGCTGCAATCTACCGCACAGACAAAGTAACTCATGACCGTACAAAAAACACTGGTAAGATCAAAGATCCTACTGAAAATGTGGTCTCTGACGACATGAATCAATTCAACGCCCCGTGTCTTTTGAAGGCCACTAAAACGTTTGTTCCTGGAACAGCACTCGAAAACCGAATAGAAAATCCTCAAAATATCATCTCTGATTCTATGAATACGGTTCAAACTATTTCTTTTTGTTTTTTAAAGAGTACTGAATCTACAAGTCCTAACCATCCAACTGGAAATATCCAACAGATTGAGAGTTTTCATAATATTTTATCAAATTCGGTTGAAACGGTTCCAACCAACTCTCCATGTCGTCTGAAGGCGATTAAATCTTTCATCCCAGACAAGTCAACAGAAAATACTACGTCCAGCGGCTTCTGCGCGCTTGAGAAAAAACCTGAAGAGATTTGCATTAAAGTACCTACTTTAACTAAATTTAAGATCCCCATTCATCGAAGCTCTCATAAAATTAGGAAACTGAAAACGATATCCTGTAACCTACTGAAAACGCGAATAAGTTTTGCAGAATCTGCTAAAACAATAACTTCTTCTCCAACCAAAATATCTGAAGAGTCTACAAGAGTAGGTGTAGAAGGAACTGCAGCAAGTTTTTTATCTAGCTTCCTTAAAGTTTCTGGAAATATTATCAATTTTTGGCCAATTAAATTGATTAAAAACACCACATGCTTTGTTGATAGTATAACCGGTACATCTACTAAGATTGCAAGGACTGCTGAGAATATTTGTCTACAAGATCTTATGACTGCTGAGTCTTTTGACCCTGTGCCATCTAAGAAGAAGCTTAAAATTGAAGAAAAGCCTACTACCAAAAATTAGAATTCTAAATCACAGCCAGGCGGTTCTGAAGTTAATTAATTGAAAATTAGCTGGCACTAAAAATGTGTGCTCAGAAACTAAAGAACGTGAACAATTACCAGTAGCTTTCTGTATCTTGTCTATACTAAATTTGAAACGGGATATTAGTACCGAAACTCAATGTATGATGCAAATATCATTTAGCATGGGCGATAAGAGATAAAAATTTTGGTGACATTATCTTTGCGCTACATGTTTGTTTTGTACTTTCCTTTACTTTTTCGTTGTCTTTTTTATTGTTTTATAAAGTCTACGTATTTGAGTCTAAATAAAAAGTATAAACTTCTAGAGACTTGTTTCTGTTTCGTATGCAGGACCACTCACGCGTTAACCGTTGACCACGCCGCGTGTATGGCTTCCCCAATACATCCCCGAAGAAGAGAAGAGTTGTTCTGTTCTGAGTTTTTTTATTTCATATCAAGTGACGGGACGACGAACAAATCGTGTGTCTGGAATTAAGTGACACACGCTTCCATAGCAATTGTAGTGCCGTGCCACTCAGCTTTAAATCAAAAAGACCTGAGACATAGATTAACAAGTCCCATGTGCCTGTAATTTTTTCACAAACACCCTTGCCCCTCAAAAGCCAGGATTCACATTAATGCTTGGCGACAGAAATAGGTAAGGTTGGACTCTACTACTGCTCGGGATCCGGAGACGAAGAAAATTTTACACGGATCCAACGTTGACAACCGCCTGATGGCGACTGACGGGGCAACAGACATCGCAGCGAGTCTTTAAGCCGTTGAGCAATGTTTAAGTTTTCAGATAAATGTAAATTTATTAATAATACGGCTTCAGTTGAAAACCAAAATTTTGCAGGTTCTGTGTAGTACTTAGAGAGTGTAAATATCTTCCGTATCATGGAGGATAGTGCCTGCAAATCCGCGTATGTAGTATTAGTAACAAGCGCGTATGTGCACACCAAACCAACTTTCACAGGAGGGGGATTTAACGTTATTACTTTGTTATTTCTATGGCTAAGACTTTTATTTTTGCACAAATTTATTTTTTAAGAATGTATGTTATCTACGGACTGATAACAATAGATTCCCGTAAATCACGCTAGTTTGGTTGCCACAAAATTGACGCGTATTTGATATGGCGCCTGGAGACTCATAATCAAATGCTAGTTACGCGTAATTGCACTATCCCATAGATATAGAAAAAAAGGGGAGATATGGTATGGGGGCGTGGTTCGTGTCGACGTGGCACGCCTACAAATATCGCCACAGTGACATGACGTCGTTGTACATACAAGATCTCTGGTAAAACGTGAAAATGCCAAGTTGTAGCGATAAACCTTGTAAAAATTGGAGTGAAAACAAAAATTTTAAAACCAGAGAGGCTTTTCACTATTATTTTTTCTTTCTACATATTCTGGCTTATGTATTTTTAGATCGGGCAAGTTGTTACCATAAATGTAAAAAAATGCAAAAAGTTGATTGACAGATTTTTTTTGCGTAGGTATGCCATTTTTTTGCTTTTACGTCAGATGAGAATGGGGCGCTCAGTTCGCTTTGGTTCTCGTAACTGTCAGATTATTTTGTGCTTCATCACCTACAATTGGTACAAGTTATCGGTAAATAAGATCGTATGATTCTTTTTTCTTTATAACATTATCACATAGTGATTGTTTTGAGTTTAGACGTTCATGCGATGAAATGAAGATTTATTCACCTTGTGGCTGAGTGACCCTCTCTTTGTTTCGGTCTGTATCCTAGCACGATTAGAACTTCTTGAATTTGAATCACAGCACAAAACTATAGAATCCTGAAGTTTACAAGTGTTTGATAACTTTGTAGACACAAGGTCAAGCAAGCAGTTTATAGAAGATTCGTTAAATTTAGAGGAAGAGATACATATTTGCTCTTTAAAGCGGATGGGTCTTTCCATACGTGTTTGCCTATGAAAGCTAGATGTTTCTGAATTTTCATCTATTTTCTGGAATCTTTTCCGAGATGTACTAGGAATAATTTCCTTCGAAGTTGACCGACCGAACCGACTTCTACAAAGGCAAGGGGATCTTTTTCGCTTATTTAAACAACAACAGCAATCACATTTGTTTTCCTTTTTAGACATCGTGTGTCCGTCCACCATAACGGAATTTATTTCTTTTCTTTGGGTAAATAAGAAGCGGATTTTGAATTTTTTCGTGGGGTCTAATTGACGAATGACTAGTACTCATATCATTGGCAATAGAGGAAGCCTTCGGAGTCTTATGTGAAAAGTGAACTTTTGATTTTGGGATTTCCATCATTTGATTCATTTTCAGTGCACTATTAACCGATATTTCTACAGATACTTCACAATCCGGTAATTTTTTATTTCTTTTTTACACGCTATTTCTTTTGGTAGAATGCGTAAAGGGCCATGCCTAGTGCAATAACTTTTTTACCTTTCTTTAGACATACAGGGAGCTTAGTTTGAAATATGTTCTGGGCGATTTTTGGTATAACTTCTAGTTGTTTACTTTCAGCTGATCCTCTTTTTGCTGTTGTAGGTGATAAAACATTTTGTGTACCTGTTTGATCTTAGGAGCTAGTTAGGTTATCCGTTTCGATTTTATTATTTCTTTAGAACTACAAACTTTTCTAGGACTTTTATGTTCTTTTGTGGGATAGTATTTAAATTCCTTTGAACACTTGCAACAAGAGAAAATATTTCTTTTTTGACGTCGTTTTATCTGCTATTGTCATTGACTTACAAATAAATGGACGACGGGTCTAATACACAAACCACGAAAAAAATGTCCCAAGTCATTGACTTACAAATAAATGGACAACGACAGGTCTAATACAAAAACCACGAAAAAAATGTCCCAAGTCAACCTATTCGAAATTTAAATTGTAATGTCATCGCAGTATCGCGCTGTCAGTAGAACAAATGAAGACTAAAGCGGAGTGTCGCGCTCTGTATACGATTTTAGCGCCTTACAAGTGCGGACACTTTTTAGCGCGGACCCGACGTCCATATAATTGTAAGTCAATGTCCCAAGTCTACTATTTAAACGTAAACGTGACATGTAAAGGAATATGAAAAAGATAAAACATTGAATTTAAATTGTAATGTCATCGCAGTACTGTCTAATTTTGCTTGCTTCGCTGTCAGTCGAACAAACGAAGACTAGAGCGTGAATGACGCTCTGTATACGATTTTAACGCCGTATAAGTTCGGACACTTTTTAGCGCGGGCCCGACGTCCATATAATTGTAAGTCAATGGCTATTGTACATATTACTCCACATTCAGGGCAATGGACTTTAATATTCTCTCTTTGTACAAACAGGGGATGCATCCTGATCTCTTTTAGCATTATTTGTAATGTTTTAAAGTCATCACTTTCTGATAGTTTTTTTTTTACCTTTTTAGGCGGTGATGGCTTTATAGCCTTCTTACGAACAGGCACTTTTGGTAGTACATATTTAGAGCAAGAATCTTGAGATTTTATCTTTGGCCAAATAAGGGGCGCATATTTTTGTTGAAGCATGATTGGATGAGCACTAGGAGTCATTTCCTCAAAAACCATTGAAGTGCTTTTATGTTTATATCCGGGGATATCAACAATGTTGTAAGATTATCTTTTGTCAGAGCAAACATATTTGATTTCCAAAAATTTTTATACGACGACGATTAAAACTGGCCCTTATGCCTTTTAATTTTCTTTTAGACCCTGCTCTACTTATAGAATAGACATTGACGGGATTGAATCTTCCCTTTAAAAATGATAGGGATCTCCTCAGTCGGGTTGCCTGTAGTCTCACCATCAGAGACAAAAGTCTCCTTTCGACGAACAAAGGCAGTCTTTTCTACTTCAGCATTAATATAGGTCTCCTGTCCACGACTGACTGGATATTCTTCTCCTGAAATGACTGGGGTTATCTCTGTAAGACAAGTAGAAGTATCCTCTATGGTATTGATAATAGTCAACGCACTACGAATTAAATTAGTATTTGCTATAAAAGTGACAGAGGTCTTCTCAATAGAAGTGACGAATATCTTCTGTCTCTTCTGTACATTATTGGCTGGAGCCGATGCTCTATCACTAGAAGGTGCCTTTAGAAACTTTATTATTAAACTTGAAGTCGTTGAAGTTTTTGGGCTTAGTAATACTACTAACATACAGTAAACTATACAGTTTGTCGTTGATTTTGCACCAATAGTTTTTTTAGATTTAGGGGTAATTTCTTCTATTTTTGGTAAACGCTTCGAAGAACTTTCTGTACAAGAATTAGAAATATTACTATCGGCATCTGGATTATTGTAGACATTTTCAGAATTACCCCTATCATTCCTTGGTTTCTTTTTTAAAGATGATCTCATTTTGACCTGCATTTCTTTTGGATCTTTCAAATACCTAGTGCAACTCTTTTTGTTAC